TTTTTTTTGAGTCTGAGTCTTGCTCTGTCACCCAGGCTGGAGCGCAGTGGTGTGATCTTGGCTCCCTGCAACCTCTGCTTCCCAGGTTTAAGCGATTATCCTACCTCAGCCTCCAGAGTAGCTGGGATTACAGGTGCCCCCCACCACGCCCAGCTAATTTTTGTTTTTTTGCAGAGAGAGAGTTTCACCATGTTGGCCGGGATGGGGTCGAACTCCTGATCTCATGTAATTTGCTCACCTCAGCCTCCCAAAGTGCTGGGATTACAGGCATAAGCCAGATGCCCAGCTTATTTTATTATATATTTTAAATATTATAACACTTTTTACATTTAAATTAAGAATTAAATGTTAATTTAGCCTCAAAGAAAATGCATTATTAATTTCTAATGTTATTTTTTCACAGCTGTGTTTGCCTAACTGTAAATATTCAAAAGAGCTTAAATACCACAGAGCCAAAGCTATTTTAATTTTTTAAAGGATTTGATCATTTCCCTTTAGTAATTTGAGGCCACTTTTGATTAAGATTTTAATTTAATATGCAGCTTTTTCATATATATTCTTTTTACTTTATAATTTCTGTATTTATAATCCATGCCTTAAAATGCCAATTGCATGTATTTCTTTTCTTTTGGTTTTTAAATTATCATATAGTAAAGTTCACTTTGGCTTTAGTGTACAATTCCATGAATTTAGACTTCCGTGACTACTAGAACAATCAAGCTGAAGAACAGTTCTGTCTTCACCCAACATTTGCTCATTTTGATCCTCCCTGCTCCAACTCCTGGCAACCACTGATGTTTTTCTTCATATTGTTTTGGATTTTCAAGAGTGTCCTATAAACGCAATTATGTAGTATCTTATTTTGAATGTCTTGCATTGCTCACATGACTGAACATTTTTCCACAATTAGTTGCAACTGTGTTTTTTGTATCTTGTATAGTTTGTGCCTTTGCAATTTCTTTTCTTGGGTCATGAACAGTGCTTTTCTTAAAATTTGTATACCCTTATTATGTAAGAATGATGTTAACTTATTTCTGTTGCACCAACCATTGCTATTTCCCGGGGTAGGTCTTTAAGTTTGGTTATTTTCCTTAAATGTATAAGACCTTACCAATAGGAATAACACTTGATTAATAATATTGTAATACTCTGGTGATGCAGTCTGATGCAGTATCCCTAAATCTGGGAAAGATTGTTAAAAAAAAAAAAAAAAGTTAAAGATGCATTATTTCTAGTGTGTAGGAGTTGGAAACAGACTAAATATGTAGCTTTAGACTTTAAGAAAGCAGATCATAGAGCTACAGACAGTAAAATGTCATGCAAGAATGACAAGGATGCCTGCAAAGATGTCAAAGAAACTTGAAAAATTTTTATAGTAAAATGTTAAATTAAAAAGCCAAGTATAATTCCATACCCACAGGATGATCATAGCATGTAGAGAAAAACACAAAACTTGCTAATTTTAAAAGATGAGGGAAAATAGATCAAAATAATAAGGGTGGAAATATTGAGAGACATCTTACTAACTCTGCATGTCTTCTTCATTTTTCATTATGATCACCTGAAAAGCTCTCTGAAGTACATGGAGAAAAGCACTCTGGGTAGTTCAGGTGTAAAATGCTGCCATCTGCCTGAAAAACTCACTCTTGAGCTTGAGGTTCTATTCAATGATGTGTGAAGCTTACCCCACAAATACCAATTCTGTCTTCTAGATGTCAAATATATGTCAGATCATGTCACTGTGACCAGACCTTTAGAAAGAGGAATACTGACTTGGCTGCCAGACAGAACGTACATGTATTGGACAAATAATCAAAATGCTTAGAAGTAACAGAATACTGCAAGTGAATCTGGCCAAATGGCCATATCATCTGCATTGCTTATTAAGTAAGAAATCATTGTCTAGGCAAGACCTTCAGGAGAGAGGGTTTTGCCCCCAGCTCTCTTCCTTGCTGTAACGAAAGCCCTGGTCACCCCAGAGGTTTCCATCTCTTCCTGAGACAGCATTTCCCAGATACCTGCTGGGCTGCTGTTGCCTGATTAGAAAGCCAACCTGGGAATAGCAAAGCGACACCAGGAAAGGCCAGAGTGCTTTAACTCAGGTTTGATGAGTCAGTGATCCCTCCAGACTCAAAAAGAATTAAGGAAATCTTCAAAAAATCCCTACATGGCAAAAACTTCCATAAATGAAGATGATTCTCAGTGACTTTTTCCTGATTTGTGGAGAAATGAAGTTTTGTCTAAAAGATCCAAGTGGCCCAGGAAAGAAAGGATTCTCAAAGAAGCTCTCTCCCGAGAACTCACAGCTGTTAGCCCCGCTCCTGCCTAGGAATTCTAAACTCATAGGGCCAAGGGGGCTCCCTAAAGACAAATGTTTACGACATCTACCTGCTAATTCAGCAGCATGATAGATACAGAACCCAACAAATCATGATGTTTACACAACCATCTCCTTTAGATAAACTTTCCAAACTCTGCAGGAAACTAGGACTTCATTAATATCTGTGAAATTAACAGCACCTGTCAAAAGCTCCTAATCTGTCTCTTGTAGAGCCAAAGAACACTGGCATTTAGCGTACTGGAGATCCCTTACGGCTTCGCTAGATGGGGTATTACAGGTCCAAAGTTTCCAGTTATGTTACTCCTTCTCACTTCCAGGTTTTTATTATTTCACATAGTTTTCTTTCTTTATTCAAAGGCAGAAAAGACAACCAATGCTTTGTTTCTTTGGCTTGGAAAAAAATATGAGCATAAAATGGTCAAGAAGAGAGAGGGAGCAAGGAAGTAACCTTTTCACTGAATATCAGATGATAATTTCAGATTAATGGAACCTCAGGAAAGTAGGTAAAAAAGAAAAGGTATTTCGTTCACATAAGTGGTCAGGACATTCAACAATGGAACAATAGATGAAGAATTAGACTAGATCTCTGGATTTGGAGCCAGCACTTTGGTAACATTCATCTAAACCTCTTGAAAAACATGCTGATTTTGGGGTTTTTATCAAGTATTTTGTTCATCTTTAGATGATAAAGCCCTTTTCTATGGTAGTCAATGAATTTGGAGTTTTCTGCGTGGTTTGTTATGTTCAAAGGCTGTGTGTGTGTGTGTAACTGTGAAGAAAGCAGACTTTTTTGAAAATGTCCAAAGTAAATAAGGATCAGCTGCTGAATGCCTTGGGCCAATCCCATTACACACATAAATAGACCATGTAAGAATTTTGCGGTGTCATATTTAACTAGTGTGACTAAAATAGACTCGCTCTTTATAAACTCATTTTCTGATCACTGTGTGCTGTTTCCTGGGCACCTACTTGAATAACAGAAGACATAAAACGTTGGAAAACTTTTGCCTCACTCTGCCACGACTAGGCCCCACTCCATTAGGTTGAGTAGAATTAACTCTTGAGTTCGTTCTCACTAACAAGGTTGAGTGCAGACTTCCAGAAAGCTGCTCCCCTCGGCAAGTCAGTGTGTGGTTTGGGGTGAGTCCAGCAGTGTCCTCTGCAGAAGGGGAAGTGAAAGCATTCGTTCAGATGGATAGTGGACCCGTTTGAGGTTCTGGCTGTCCGCGATAAAGCATTGGCTAAGTGGACATGGGGCACCAAAAATATTCTCTCATAGCCCCCAAGCAGCGCTTGTCTTTTGTCGTTTTCCAGGGTGCAACCATGTCGCCATTTCTTCGGATTGGCTTGTCCAACTTTGACTGCGGGTCCTGCCAGTCTTGTCAGGGCGAGGCTGTTAACCCTTACTGTGCTGTGCTCGTCAAAGAGTATGTCGAATCAGGTAAGCTTGAGTGGGTTTTCAAAGCAGGGGAGGAGGAGGAGAATCCTGCTATGAACTATGTATGAAGCAAAGTCTTCCAGGACATTTGACATCATCTGGTTGAACCAAATCCTACCGTTTAGGACACTGAGGCCCAACAAAGTCAAGGACTTCCTTGAGGACACACATTTCATGATGGACTCTAAACCAGGACCCGATGGCCCACCGGGGGCTCTATTTCACTGTGTCATTTTTCCTGCTTATACAAAGAGAAAATTGGTTTGGGGAAATTACGTAAGGAGTTAATAGGAAGGAACTCTAATGAGCTGAAGTAGAACATGGCCCTATGTGGTTAAGCCTGGTTACATTAAATAAGTCTAGGTAGATTAAGACTGCATAATCTTCCAACCAACTCTAAAGTCTGCTTACTGCTGCTTTGACAAAGCTGCAGTGGATATTACAAAGCATCTATAATTAGCCATTGGAGTCCAAAGTTCAGAACACGTACTTTTGCACTTACTAAGGTCTTGGCTGAATAACAGAATAATGATGTTTCATCAAGTTTAAAATATTTACAGGCAGCTCGAGCTGGAAGAGGGGAAAGTGGGACAGCCACCCAATGCCCCATTTGTGGGTTCAGAATGTTCTGTTCCAACAGTCTTACGTGTAGGGAATCTCTCTGTGGTCACGACAGCCAGCTTCCACTCTCTGAGATCCTCACCACTGCATTGTAAGTTTGTCATGGATTTCCAAAGGAAAAGTAGGAGGGAGGTGATAGCCCACAACTCTCCTGGCTGCACGCCTTTTCTTGGTTTCCTATGTGCATTTTGACTTTAGCAGACACTTTGTAGAGAATAATGAGGGTGGATGCAGGTTTGCAGTAACTGTGGAAGCCGTCACACTTCACTTACGCAAAAGTGTTTATGGGGAGACCGCTGCAAGAGTGCTGGGCCCAGAGCATAGAGAGGAAAAAAGTCAGCCAGAATAGCTGAAAGAACTCAGGAAGACTTCCTTCCCTTTAGAGCATCTATTCTTGCGAAGAAAGTGGCAGTAAACAAAAATATAAACAGCAGGCAATGAAGGAACAAAAAGCGGTGTAACGGAAAGAGAGGGACTGTGAGCAGAGAAGTGTGTTTGTAAAGGGTTGTCCTGCAAAGGCCTGTGATCAGGGACATTTGCAGATGCAAGAAGAAACTGACGCAGATGTTGGGAACCTCCTGCTAGATGCTCATAATTTAGATTCTGGGGTTCCCAAACCTATTTTGCACCCCAACCAGAAGACTTTTTGCTTCACAGCTGACTTCATCCTTCCAGCCACTCTGAACACATCAAAGCCGGGGAGACTGTCTGAATCATCTTGATTTCCTTTCTGCCCAGAGTTCTCTCCTGTTTAGTTAAAAGTGTGAATGCCACTTGCTCCCAACCTAAAACCTTTCAAATGTCACAGACATCTTTGAAGTGTAAAATGTCTGAGTTTTTCAAAGCCATTGACTTAATGGGTCTCTTGGATCCAGTTCTCTCTACCATCTCAGGTCTCCCTGACATTTGCCTCCTGAGGGCCTTTTTTCCCCCCTTCTTTTGCTTTTGCCCTTGCCTTTGAACTTGGTCTAATCAGCCATGTGGATCAAGAGACCTTGTCAAAGAAGGAAACTGGTTTTCCTAAATATTAGCCTGTGGAGTTGGAGGGAATTTAGAGATTTTTGCTTTTGATTTTCTTTGAGGTTTGTTCTGAAAAGAAGTCACTCTGAATATTATCGTTCAATATTTACTTCTCCAGAATTTAAACACGTTTCATTTCTTGGGGTGTAGGGCTGCGTTTTCCACACTAAGCCAACAGAACAGGGACAAACGGGCCACAGGGCTGTGGGGCTATGGGTCATTGAAAATGGTAACATTCTAGATAGACGGGATCCTCTGTGTAGGTGATTACAAACCTGGTGAATGAAAATGTAAAAAATACCTTGCTTCACGGATTTTTGCCCCTTCTCTGGGGATCTTTGGCCCTTTTCTCCAGGCACAGAGAATGGTTATAGTCAAAATGAATTATCCGAAAGGGAAGCTTCAAGTCTGTGGAAGTAAAATGTGACCATGATCATTGATATTGCCACTGGTTTCTATAAAGCCCAATCACCAGTCCGAATTTTTTTTAACCAACCCATAAAAAATTTCCCCTTTCTATTCCACCTTTAGTAGTCTCATAGTTTAAATCTTTCCCAGCCGAGTTTACCTAACATTTGAGTTTCAAGCTTATTCAACTCCTTGTATACCCCCAAAATAAATATTAATTTAACAAATGCTAAACGCCTGCTCTGTTTAGCTTTGTATGTTGGATAGAGGGGCCCTCGAAAGCTAGAAAGGCTTTATTTCCTGGCTTTAAGCGGATTTTCCCCTTTTGTTTAATCGACATCTCTGAACTGTTAAATCTGCCACTTAATGTGCTTATATCACAAGAAACAAACACTCAAATGTAGGTTTCTGCTTCTGAAATGATTAAACAATAAATACCAGAGAAAATCCAATGCGCATGAAAGACAGGAAAAACTCGTTAATTAGTAAACTCTTTGCCAATCACTGAGTAGCTTTAGGGAGGTGTCCCCTAAACCGACCTTCCCGTCTGTAGATTCTGCCCCCCTGTAGATTTCCAGGGCTCCTGCCTGCCTGCCTGCCTTTCCTCACTTGCAGGCTTGCAGTCTTCTTCAGCCTCGCTGGCTCCATGGGTGAAGACCAGCACCACCTCTCTGAGTTGTTCATCAGCTTTTGCTGAAGGTGCATGATACATGTAAAATGTATCTTCATCCAAGAATTAGAGAAGGAAATAATGGCTCATTATGCTTTAAAGGTTACTGCCTCTTAGTATATTTGTGTCAAATGGAAAAAAATTTTAAATATTTCTTAAAGGAGCGTTCATTAGGTGCTTAAATTATGCCACTTTGTCTTTCAGATGAACACACAGTAGTTTTGTATTGGCTATGTTTTACCCAGGGCTAGTGAAGTAAATCAGTCATAGGATCAACACTTTATAGATTAACAAAGGAGGACCTCAAAGGCATAACAGATTTTTTTAAAGTTTTCTGCTTAGGTGTTTACACCGAAAGTAAAGCAACTAACTGTTGAATAGGAAAAGAACATTTGGAAAGCAAACCAATAATCCCCATAGACAGTTGTTTTTGAATAATTATAGAAAAGGACGCTTCTGGTCTTAAAGCTTAAAACTTGCATTTGTTTTATTATAAGAGTTTCTTCCTCAGGAAAGGATCCCCATGCCTCTCAAAAAATATTAGGGAACTGAAACTCACTAGATCATGGCATCCAGAGACTGAAGCGCCAGTCCCTGGCTCATCATGATTGCTTCCTTACCCCTCCTGTTCCTGTTTTCTCATACAAAGTTACATTTTTTCCCTGCCATATAAATCCCTAATTTTAGTCGGTCGGGAAGATGGATTTCAGACTGAGCTCTCATCTCCTCAGTTTCAGTACCCTATTAAAGCGTTTTTCCTTGGCAATTCTCGTCGTCTGTGTCATTGGCTTTCTGTGCAGTGAGGAGCAGAACCTAGCCCAAACACCTGGTGTTTCGGTAACAATTTCCAGTCCAAGGCATGAGCACACTGATGTCTGAATTATCTACATTGGACCTATAAGGTTCAAGGCATCACCTTGCATCTAGACCTGGGGACTGTCTCATTCTGTCCCATATTGTCTGATTGTTATGTGCCACTTTTGTCTTCCCAGCAGAATTCTATAGGACAGAGGGAGCAGCTGCTACTGTTGAATTGAACTGAATTATTTTCCAGGCCTGGCTGAAGGAGTAATGAGAACATACCTTTCTGTTCCTAGAGAATGGGCAGATGTATATCCAGAAAAAGCCTACCATGTACCCACCCTGGGATAGCACTTTTGATGCGCACATCAACAAAGGAAGAGTCATGCAGATCATTGTGAAAGGCAAAAACGTAGACCTCATCTCCGAAACCACTGTGGAACTCTACTCACTGGCTGAGAGGTGCAGGAAGAACAACGGGAAGACAGAAATATGGGTAATGTTGTGTAAAGTGTATGTCCCTAAGCATGCAGCAGATGACTGGCTCACAACTCCCATGTCAGTCTAAAGGTGTGTGATTACACTGGCCTCGGGTCACCAGGCTCCCTGCCACTTCCTTACTGGTGATTTGATCATGGCAATGGTTATCCTTTATGGGCTGTAGAATTCATTGACATCTTCAGATCTCTTTGATGCCTACATCAAACAGATGTAGAAAGTCTCTTAGGCTATGATAAATTGTTATTTATTTAAAGCTGTTAAAGCAGGCTTGAAACTATCACAAATTCCCCTTGATTGGGGGATGAGTTTTTGTCTATCAATCCAGTTGTCAGTTTCATTCACTTTTTCAATTTTGGAAGAATGTATGTAAGACTTAATCAAGATTTATCAAATGACAATTCTAATGCTTTTATTTTATTTGTTTTTTTCTTTTCAGCAGAACTGCCAGAACAAATGCTTTTAAACTTAGAATTTACTTGTTTAACCCAATAGACTCAGAACACATTGAGATATCAAAATCTTAATTTTATTAAACTTCGTCCATACATTTTTAGAGTAAAAAGCTATCAGAATGTGAGGGGATAGAACAAAGATCCGTTTAATGTTTCGTCTTGTGTCTCCATACTTTGACAGTTTCTATAACTTTTCTCAGCTGTCATAAAATGGCTTAGCTTATTCTAACTAAGAAGTACATCATACACAATTCATGTCAGCACCCCAAGTTGTTAAAAACCTAGATTATGGTAGCAAATATTTATAAATGTTAAAAGGAAGATTAAAAGAATGAAAGCATTAAAAAAAATCTAATGAAAATTTCTGGGGCACAAAACAAAGGAAAATAGTAAGAAACTGTTTTTATATTATCTGAAATCCAGAAAATGTTTTCAAATATTTGTATCATCTATGCCAAAAGAGAGAATCCTGACTTTCTGCTCCTTACTTTCTGTAACTCAGATTTTAAGAAATCCACCCAAAAGACTTTCAACTCAGATTTTGAGAAATCCACCAAAAATATTTTCAAGAACTCAGATTTTAAGAAATCCTCCCAGATTTTCAAGTCACAGGCTTCAAATGGGAATGATGTAAGCCTAAAAACTAGGTTTTTGTGTCAGTTTTGTATTTTTGACCTAAAAAAATTAGTGCTTTTTAAGAAAGTATAAAACTCTTTGCTTGTGTCACTAATTTTTAGAGACAAATATATGCCAAGATTTTTTTTCAAAGGTGCCCATGCCCATGCTTACATATATCCAGGTAATTTGGTTGAGCAGCATCTACTCAGCACTTGTGTGTAGGTTTGGGGAAAGGGTTCCTGGGGCCGGGCGTGATGGCTCACGCCTGTAATCCCTGCACTTTGGAAAGCTGAGACGGGCAGTTCACCTGAGGTCAGGAGTTCAAGACCAGCCTGGCCATCATGGCGAAACCCTGTCTCTACTAAAAATACAAAAATTAGCCAGGCATGGTGGCAGGTGCCTGTAATCCCAGCTACTCGGGAGGCTGAGACAGGAGAATCGCTTGAGCCCAGGAGGAGGAGGTGGCAGTGAACCTAATCATTTTATGAGACAGAAGCAGGAATGGGGGAAACTGAGGAAGACCAGTTTATTTGGCCTATCTAATTTTTTTTTAAAAAGTCATCAATCCCCCAATTTTAAAAATGTTATTCTATTCATGTTTCCTTCTCAATTAATGAAAGGATAAGTCAGGGACAGGTATCTTCTTGTTAAGTAGTCTTCACTGATAGGCAGCTTGCTGTTCTAGTTGTAGCTCTTCAAGCTGCATGTGATTTCTTGCCTAGAATTTTGCTAATTTCATTCTTACCAGACTTTTCTTTGCATTCCAAGATTATTTAGACATAAGCCCATGGTGGTATTCAGATGCTCATTTAACCAACTAGCACACTTTTTGCATTTTTAAGCTTTGGTGTTTTGTTTTGTTTTTTTTTTCCTAAGGCTATTTCTTAATTTACTTGTATTTTATTTTAAGGGCCAACAGGTTGTTTGGGACTTATATTTTCCCTTACTTCCATTGGATTCTGCTTTTCTAACACTAATTTCGTTAAAGAAAATGATTTTCTCAAATTTGCCTTTCATGTTTCCATATTGAGACACACCTTTTGTTTTCCCACGGTTGTGACAGTTTTTACGGTTGTCTCCCATTCACTCCCCAGAATGTGTTGGAATGTGACTTTCTATGGATGCTGCTTTTCCAGTAGCTAACTAGTTTAATTTCCTTCATGTCTACTAAATACTGAATATTGCCAACTCTGTGGTCAGCTGGTGCCAATTTTCATCATTCCATTTGGAAATGGGCCCCTCGCCCCTAGCTTTTCCATCTCCATTTTTGCCTTCATCTTTACTCCTTATTCCACAAGCCAGAGAACAATGGTGCATACACGCTGTGTCAAAAGCATGTTTCTTTTCATTAATCTGTTGAAACTCATGAACATTTACAGTTGTCACAGAAGCACAAGCTTATTTTATCATAAAATTCTCATAGCAGTAATGCTATGACATAGGCGTTGCTATTGTGTCCATGTTTCAGATGTTTCCCAAAACTTAGTGATTTACACAAGGTCACATAACCAGAAAAGTATTTAGCCATGATTCAAATTCAATCCTGAGTTCCACAGGACATTACTTGCTATTTCTTAGTTATTCTGGCTAACCTGTCTAACGGATGGACGTAATGACCAATAATGACTTTCAGGTCCTCTTCCTTCTTACTCTTGTTGGTCTGTGAGTGGCATAGTGGGATGGTTTAATAGATTACTGACAGTGCTTAGGTTGTCTTGGACTTGGATTTGTCTTTTCTTCTCCTTATGTCACTTTATGGGAGATCCTACATCAACCCTTAAAATGACACTTTGTTCTGGTCTCTTCTACATAATAATACAGCACTGAAGTATCTATTTATATGCATTTATAAATTCCTTCCCAGACCAATGTAATTAAAATTTTCTTTAGTGGACCATCCAAGACTTTCCTATACATACAGTCTCTCTTTGTGAAAGAGAAAAGCCACCCCCATTGAATGCCCTGATTAACCTAGACATGCATCCCAGGTAGAAAGAAAGACAGGGGTCTGGAGGCAGCCTCAAAGAGGCAGGATTTATCTCTCCCTCCAAAAGAAGAACTTTTTCCCCAAGGAAGCCAGTCCCCGTGCCTGTGATGCTTTTGTCATGATGAAGATCTGGGTCTACCCTGTGGCAGTTCTTCAGATAAGCAACATCACAGGTCAAGGAAACCAAATAGAATCTGTTTTAGGATTTTCTTTCTTCCTTATGCACGTTCTTATCTCCAAATAAAAATGAATGAATTGCTGGGATGTTTTAAGAAAAAGAAAGGTGACTGTCATGGTTGCTACAGTCTTCTGATGACAATGAGTGTGAGTACAGTGGAAAGTAACAATGATTGTATTCTGTGTTGGAAATCTCCCGCCATCGTCAGTAGCCAGTGATGTCGTTGAACTCAGGGCTTGTTTCACATTCTGACTGATGTTTCTCTCCTTCTCCCAACCAGTTAGAGCTGAAACCTCAAGGCCGAATGCTAATGAATGCAAGATACTTTCTGGAAATGAGTGGCAAGTGACATTTCTTCTTTCTGTTTGGGGGTGAGGAGGGCATGGCCTTCTCCTCAAATGCAGCTTATTGTACCTTTGTGATTATCATAGAAAAGAATCGGGAGAGAAGAGAAGCAGGGAATTGTCTTAAAATTCTCAGAGGTGCTCAGGCATGACTTGAAAAGACACTAACTGGGCCAGAAAAACATAGACATATAAAACATGTACAGCGCTTGTTTTTAAGTGATGTGAATCCATATGCCCAATGCTCTTAGCATCTGTCTTTATTTTAGTTTGGAAAGTCAGCCTAAATACAAAAGACTGTTCATGTGTGGTGATGTGTGTACATATTATCTATGTTTAAATGATGTGCTATAACAAGGCACCATACTATCAATAGAACACAAAGTAAGTAAGAAGTCAATAAATATGTTCCATAAAACTAGTAACAAAATGCTAGTACTTAAAGTTAGTCACCTCAAGTCCTTTTAGGAAGAAGAAAAGGTGAGAAACACATCGCTAAAGATTTTTGGTTCCATGTTACATACGGACTTTGGCCACAGAAGTTAAATTTCCTGGTGCAATGAGCTGAGATAGGCTGTCAGGGCGGTGTGTGTGAATCAAATCCCCCTACTTATAAAATCCTAAGCCACAGCATGGACGTGTAAACTTACTGATGGTAAACTGATTTCATTTTTTCCTAAATTATTGTTATTGCCAAGAAGAAGTTAGTTTGACTTTATACATGTATGGTGCTTTCTGAGTTTTGGCTTACCATATATAATTCCTCAGGGTCTAAATTCAAACAAATACATCAGAGAAAACAGTATTATGAGCTAATCATGGAAAACTTGAACACTCACCAGATATTTGATGATATTGAGGTGTGGTGATTCATCATTTAGGTGTAATAACAATATTGTGGTGATGATTTTTTAAAAGGTGTGCTAATCTTTTACAGATGTATACTAAAATATTTTAGATAAAATAATATGATACCATGGCTTTCCTTCAAAATAATCCAGTGGCATGGGGTGTAAGATGGACAGACCATATTGAAAGAGAGTGACCATCAATTAATAATTGCTGAAACTGAATGATTGATACTTGAAAATTCATTACAGTATTTGCTCAACTTTTACATATATTTGAAATGTTCTATAATAAAATTTTTAAAAAGAATTACTGAGAAGGGAAAAATGGACTCTGAAATTTTCTTTTTCTTCTTGGAAGTTGTAGATGTATAGTACATATAGTATAACTTTTAAGTTAGCTGAGATAGAATGATTGCAGGATATTTGAATATCCAGATTTGCATAAAAAGTGAAAATACTGACCTAAACAATAATGTCAATGATGTTTAACTCCTTGAATAAAGAAATATATTCCTCCCATTAGTTTAAAGCATGACCCAATGTAAGTTGAAAAAAGGGTTCTGTCTGGTCACGGCAGCTCATGCTTGTAATCCCAGTACTTTTGGAGGTCGAGGCAAGCAGATCACTTGAGCTCAGAAGTTCTAGACCAGCCTGGGCAACATGGCAAAACCCAGCCTCTACAAAAAATTCAAATATTAGCCAGAGTTGGTAGTGCATACCTGTAGTCCCAGCTACTTGTGAGGCTGGGGTGGGAGGAGCGCCTGAGCCCAGGGGTCGAAGTTGCAGTGAGCACTGATTTTGCCTCTGCACTGCAGCCTGGATGATAGAGTGAAACTCTGTCAAAAAAGAAGGGAAGGAAGAGAGGAAAGGAAGAGGAAAAGAAACAAGAAAGAGAAAAAGCAAGGAGGAAGGGAGGGAGAGAGGGAAGGAAGGAAGACAAGAGAAAAAGCAAGGAAGAGAGGGAGGGAGGGAGAGAGAGAAAAGAAAAGGAAAGAAAAAAAAGAAAAGAAAAAGGGTCCTTCATCAGGATGCAGGTATTTTTGATAAATGATTTTAAGATCCCTGCTTTGTAAAACAATTCTATGAATATTCCTCCTATTCCTGTGGAACTTAAATACTTTATTAGAATGAGAGAGCAAATTCAGTTGGGCAAAAACAATGATATTTCACAGACAATAATGACATAAGCCTAGGAAATGTTTTAAAAATAAAACTTTGTAATATTTAAAACTTTTAATATCTGGATCCAAATTGACACTCCATCTCTAAATTTGTGTGTGTGTGTGTGTGTGTGTGTGTGTGTGTGTGTGTGTATGTATATATATAATTTAAAAATCAAAGTTATGGAATAACCTAGCTAGAAAATTTCTTGATGACGAGTGGGAGAGTACAGGATGTCACTTCCTTTTAAGAATGCTTATCAACAATCTTGCATGTTCTTCCCATGTACCTCAAAACCTAAAACGCAATTAAAAAAATAATAAAAATGAGGTTCATGTATTCAAAAAAAATGCTTATTAGTATAAAAAATCGTCTTCTGAAAGATTCAGAAAAGCAAAACGTGTTCTTCTACTTAGGGAGCATGAACCCAGATTGAAGAGGTGGTACAGATTAAACCATTAGATAAAATTATAACCTAAACCACACAAATACTGATTAACCCAGAGATCTGTGTGTGTTGCCTTCATTTCAGAAAGCTCCACAGTGCACGCATTAAAGGGTAGGAAGAGTTGAGTTTTCTAAAGAAGAGGGATGGCCTTGCAGGAGGAAAAAGTGAAGTCTTGAGCAAGAATATGCCATGGGTGAGGGCTTTGGGGAGAACAGCGTAGGTAGACCAGCAGGCTCCTGCTGAAACCAGAATGAAGAGTCAAAGAGAGATGTTGGAGGGCCAGAGGAGTGTGTAGTCTTAGGTTGTGCTTTGCACTAATGGGAAAAATGTACTTTCTCTTAAGGAATTACACAGTATTAGTCTACGAAATTCCACTTACGTTATGGAAAGGTGATAAAAATATGGTCTAGGAGTGTGGCTACAGGAATAAAATAAAAGGAAGGGTCTATAAGAAAATACAGCCATAGCAAGATTTCACAGTAGTGCAGGTGAAACATCTACAGAATGCCTGTTATATGTACACAGTTGAGATGTTTTATAATTCTTTAAAAATGAGTCTTAGAGCAATGGCTAATGTCTGTAATCCCAACACTTTGGGAGGCCATGGCAGGAGGATCATTTGAGCCCAGGAGTTTGAGACCAGCCTGGGCAATGTAGAGTGACATTGTCTCTACAAAAAAATTTAAAATTACCTGTGTGTGGTAACACATGCCTGTAATCCCAGCTACTTGGGAGGCTGAGACAGGAGGATCACTTGAGCCCAGGACTCCACAGATATAGTGAACCAAGATAGTGCCACTGCACTCCAGCCTGGGCAATGGAACAAGACCCTGTCTCCAAATAATAATAATAATAGTAATTACTCCTTATGTAAGTTGAAGGGAGGGAAAAAAATGTTAAGAATCTCTTAAAATAGCTAGACTGGGATGTTTGGTAGGAGTGGCAGTGGTGGCAGATATGAAAGAAGAGGAAAATGAATGGGGGATCAGGAATTCAAATTTGGATAACACGAGATAATATCATGTCTCCCGTGTTTCTCTGCCATGGAAGCCTGAACTCCTCTATCTCACCAGGAAGTAAAGGCTCAGCTTCCCATAAGAGACTACTTTGTTCTTTCTCTTTGAAATCCCCGTGTGTTGGGTTTTTGAGCAGGGGTCAGTTTTTCTCTTCTTCCTCTGTTCTCCTATTATTACTCCTGTGGCTTCAGAATTCTGCATGGCTGTCTCATGCCCCCCTTTCTATTTCACACCTTCCTACGCTTCTCTAACCATTCAGTAACCAACCTCCACCCCATACATCATCACTTGGAATTCTCCACCTCCAGGGGCTTACACTCAGAACTTGCTTTCCCAGAGCTCATCATCCTCCCCTGTCAATTCTGCTTTTCTTCTCAACCAATAAGTACCATCCTTTAGTCCAGTTTCTCTTTTACCCCGTGTATTAGCCCATTTCCGGCATTAACTCCCTACCTCACTTCCCATGATAAGCCTCTGTCAGCACCCTTCTCTCGTTACTTCCCTCTTTGCCATGGATGTTCTGATCTCCAAACCTTGCATTCTCCCCTCTCATTCTCCATGGCTTTGCTAGAAAAAGTCATTCAGCTGAGTGTATTACAAACAGGTGCCATTAAATGACATTCCTATGGTTCAGACTCTGTCTGGCATCTTAGCAGACCTCTCCAACTAGATCTCCTGTACTTACACATTTGAAGGGGCCAAATTAAAAAGTATTGAAAATTACATTTACCATGTTCATGAGTAACCTATTTATTTTGTAACTCAGTATCTCTTAATTATATAATAAGTCACTCCACAAAACCTGGAAGTAATTTTTATTGTCTCCTTTTCCTTCACCTTCCATGAATGCATCAGTCAGTTGTTTGTGTTCATGTTGTCTAGTCAATATTTTTTTTCATTTCATTATCTAACTACATCCTTACTACCTCCTACTATATCCCATCCCTTCTCCTATGGTGGTCCTAGAAGGAACAATGCCAAGCTCCAATCCAACCACATCAAGCCTCTGCCCCTGCTGCAGCATTCCAGCATCTGCAAATCGTCTGTAGGAAAATGTTCAAACTGATCTGAAACCTACACATCCTCTGGAAGTGACTGCTGATCTTTTCTGCTTCACCCTCTGCACCCTGGCAATGCCCAGCTAGTTCTGGACACACACACACACACACACACACACACACACACACCCCTGAGGAACCTTAGCTCCATAGCTTTGCTCATTCCCTTTCACCCAGAGAGAGCACCTTTGGCTTTTCCCAACCATACCTTCTTCCACACAGTAGTAGGAGTTATCTGTCCGTCAGAATTCAGCACAGAAACATCTCTGCCAGGACCTTTCTTGTCCGCCTTCCCTCTTTCTCACCTTCACCTACCTCTACCTGCTTTAGCTGGTATAGTTTCCTCATTTCCATGGTCCTGTAGCATCCTGTGAATATCTCTGTTCTGACATTTGCCACACTGTCTTTCCTTCTGACTCTTAACTCCTCGCAGGACAGCCACTGTCAAAGCACATCTCATTAATTCCTTTAACTTCGCCGCCAGGTTTCGGGGGAGGCATGCAGGAAGTAGGCAATGGATGCCTGTTGGACTGTTCAGTTGGACTCACCTTGGCCCTTACAAATTTCCTTCTTTTCTTTTTGATTTCCACACAATGGCTGTTACTACCGTTCCCATCCTCCGTGGTTTCTGGGGGTGCCTCATTTTCCTCTGATTCTGGGAGGTTGACCTTGCCTCCAATACAATTGCTGGAGACCCCATCTTCTGCCTGTCTCTGCACTTTAGGGTGCAGCTGCTTCCTCCAGCCTTCTCCTGCTCCTCTGCCTCTGAGACAGCTGCTCCCTTTCTTGGTTGCACACCTCTCATCCCAGCAGTCCTGCCCTTCAATACACTTCGCCTCTGACATCCTCAACTCTCCCTTCTCTCTGCAGTTTCCTCCTCATTGCCAAGACATGCTGTATTATCCATCTTCCCCAATCTTGAACACCATCTCTTCTTTTTTTCATCTTTTTACCTCCACGAGTGTTTTTTTTCCTTCCCTGACATAGTCCTTTAAAAAGCATTTTGTATTTATCACTTTCTGTTTCTTCCCATCTATTTATATTCTTAGACCCTAAGACTCTGGCTTATAATTCAACCAATCTGCTAAAATGGCTTTCTCCACCATTATGAGTTCTCACAAGCAGTTCCTGCTTCTTAGTCTTCAATCTCCTTGATACTTCTCTGTCAGACAATGCTGGAAACTCCATTCTTTTTTGGCTTGCCTGATGCGATATTGTCCAAGGTTTCGTCTTAATTTTTCAGCTGCCTCTTCTTGATCTCCTTTGCCATTTCTTTTCCTACTTCCTAAAAAATATGGGTACACATATCTCTGAGTCTGTTCCACACCATCATATATTGCCTCTTAAGGCTAGCTGTTGCCGGCCCACATCTCCCTGACATGACTGTTAGCCACGCAGTGTGAGGAATCATCTCATGTTTCTTTAGCACATTCGGCAAAGCAGTTTACTCAAAGCTGTTTGTAGTCACTTGTGATTTGAGTGACTACAAACAAATGATAGGCTAGATGACATAAATATATTAGAATCCATTAGTATAAAAGAAAAAAAGTTACAACAATCAATGAGCTCATTCAAACCAGTAAATAGAGAAATATAGTCAATACCAAAAGAATTAAAGAATTCTATGTTTTTACATTTACTTTTGTATAACGATTGAAACAGAGGATAAAGGAAGTCACAGAAAAGAGCAGCGTATAAATTCATTTCTGGAAATTCCTGATATTTAAAAAATATATAGTATTATAATCTAATGTATAAATTATACATATAAACTATATATATAGTTTATAAGCATATGTTTAGATATATATGTATAAAATATATTTAATAAAATCTAATAAACATGTTTAGATATATATGCATAAAATATGTTTAATAGACATATAAACATATATATTTTTTACAGTAAAATAACTGTATAGGGTCCCCAGAATAATTCGCTTCCATTCCCTGCATTTAAAAGTATTTTTATATTTATTTTTATTTTATTGCATCTGGACCAAAATAGAAACAAGTCACATGTTATAAACAAATGACCTACTACACCAGTCACAAGTTGTAAATAGATCTGCACATTTATGCCAGAATTTGTGAAAGAAGGTGATTAACTCAGTGACCCTTAATTTAACCCCTCATTTACCAAGCATAATTTATTATTTCCAGCCTAGTTCCAAGTAAAAAGACCTAAATCACCTACCCTTAAAGTATTAGGCAAAGCGCTATGTCCCATCTGTGTAACTGTTAGAGGGTTTCTGGAAATTCTCTTTGTCTGGGGTTGCCATAAAACAGATCTATTGACCGCTGTAGAGAAGGCTTGAGTCCTACAATGTGTCCTGGGATGTGGCTGGATTCCTGGGGGAGGTTTCTACCTGGGCAGTTCCTCCTTTGTCTACTTAGAGTGTTTGTAGCCTAGCCACTGTTAGGGATTGGACAATAAGGTACCTTGGAAGATAATTTTCCTCAAATGCATTGTGAGGCTACTCCCACCGCTTAGCCAGAAGAGAAGTAATTTAGTTTGAATATTATTCACTCTTTGTGAAATAGAATGAGCCTGCTATTTAAACTAAACCTCAATTTTTTGTATTTGTAACAAAATAGAAGAAATGATCCAAGAATCTGCAAGCTATTATAAAATTATAACTCTAGGATTTAAATTCATTATCCTTGTTTATTTATTCATTTATTTGTGTATTATTTTTGCTATAGCATGGTTATTTTTATTTCTTTACTGTTTCCTGTTATTCTCTCTCACCCGCTGGAGTGTCCATCATGCTATTTAACCATGACTGCTTTGTGATTTAATGTTTCCTGAGAACCTAGGCTTGAGCAAGGGCATCATGAGTATTCTCAAAATTTGACTTTCTTAGTTTTTCAACCTTTTGGAAGGATGTCATCCAGGTATAGAGCAGTGTAAACAGTGACTATCCAAAGCACTTTCACCAATATTCATGAACCCAGGGTGAAATGAATACATTGGGTCTGATGCTTTGATGCTGATGACTGGATAATGCACAGGATTAGCTAGACACTAAAAAACTTCAGTGAGCTATTAATTTTCTGGCCTTTTCCACATTAGTAAATATTGTTGGTAGCTGGCATGTCTGATCACTTGGACATCAGGAACCAGGACACGATGTCCCGAAGTTCCTTTGCCCTCACACAAAATTCTGGTTAGCTCCCTCCTGTCTACCCAGCCTGTCTACAGCAACCAGCTGTAAAGCATCCTGGCGCCTCTGAAATGCTGTTCCCAAGATGCTGTCAATAACCATGTGATTCTCTAGAATTACAGACAGGAAAGCCTTTGCCACTTCCTGCCTTTTCGGGCTGAGTCATCATTGACAGTGATGAAGAGAGGTTGATAGATACCTTGAAAGTTCTAACCTCTGGTTTTGAAACTTGAAGATGATAGCTCAGCCCACTCAAAGAGGAGCAAAGGATTGAGACAGCAATCCAACTTCATGGCTTTCATCCTCTAATAATATACCCTATGATAAATCTGTGTTTTAGAATTAAGGAAAGGTGCTGAGTGTGGTACCCACCATATGAGTTCCCGGAATGTTACTGCAGGTGCTCAGTGCTGGTCCTCCTGGGTCCCCTGCCCATCTCCCTCCCCTCCTGACCGAGCTGGAATAGGAATAGTCCTGTAGCAGAACTTCACTTTCTTCCCCATTCTCTTCCTGTAGACACAAAGGACATGAGTGAGTTTGAGACAGAAGGCTTCTTTGCTTTGCATCAGCGCCGGGGTGCCATCAAGCAGGCAAAGGTCCACCATGTCAAGTGCCACGAGTTCACCGCCACCTTCTTCCCACAGCCCACGTTTTGCTCTGTCTGCCATGAGTTTGTCTGGTACAGTAACTTGGCATCTCCCTCCAAACTTTGGGTTATGGATTTTGTTGCATCTTCTTAATCCTCTAGGCTGGCATGCTCCACCATGGGGGTGAGCTGGAGTAAGTCCTACCTGAACGTCGTCAGGAACCTTGCCTGAACTGAGATGTTTCATAAGGAAGCCAGGTCTAGTCAGGAAGAATGCCCATGGGATTTTAGTTTCTGCCTCAATGGGAGGCGACTGGGATAAGTGGAAAGGAGCAGAAGTGGAAGGTATCTTTGTTACAAGCACAGTTTTCCAGTTTCATAGTCAAAACTTCCCCCACCTAATGACCCAACTGTGCTGGCACTACGTTTTGCAACAGACAGCACTTTGCCATTGCAGCTAACAGTGTAAATGTTTATAAGTCTCTTGGGTATCTTAACAGCCATCACACAGATCAGTTTAAGCCTCAGTAACCACATCGCAAAGGCTAAGGCTATAACAGAGTGGAGACTTGAAATGACTCCTGTTTCTGGCTCTCAGCATCCTGGCCTATTAAGGGATACTCTTCCCTTTAGGCTTCTGCAGAATCTGTTAATACATAGCTCCCACTTAACCACGATATCCACAGGCCAGATAGATTTGGCGGGTTTTCATCAACCTGCTTTCATCTAATCACTTGAACCTCCTTTCTCTCTAATCATAAATGTCACTCAGGAATCGCTCCTACATATGAGACTTTGTCAGTTGCAAATATTCTCAGATGCTCAGAAAGAGGAAATAAAATGCTACAGATGTCTTTGTTCATCTGTCGTGAGCTCAGTGGGGCCATGAATTTTTAAATCTAGCACAGGGAAATGTGCTACAAAGAGTTCATGATTCATGCATTTTCATTCATGCATTTTTTCTCTATATATGTTTGTTTGGAAAATACAACAATGAAAAGGAAATCAGCTGCTTCTCATTTATTTAGTTATCAACCTTTTTAAAAAGCACCTTAAAATGAAAAACACTTTGTTAACACCCTTGGCAAGCGGTACACCAGGGCTGCTGATCAGAAACTGCTCTGCGATCTTAGGGGGTTATGAGATCTCATTCACCTCTTAGAAGCTGCTGGTGCTGATGTTGATACCAACATTGAAATAAATTGGCGTGTGCTTTATTACAGGGGCCTGAACAAGCAGGGATACCAGTGCCGACGTAAGTAAGAGGGTTTCAGTTGTATTACCATCATTCTTTTTACTTAGTTATACTTTAGGCTATGAAAATCTTAAGCTGCATTTTTTTCTTTTCAGAATGCAATGCAGCAATTCACAAGAAGTGTATTGATAAAGTTATAGCAAAGTGCACAGGATCAGCTATCAATAGCCGAGAAACCATGGTGCGTATTTACACTCCTCTTTGATGTGCAGTGATTTTTATCAGAACGTTGAATGTTACAGCCCATGGCCTCTTCTGAATAATACCAGAACTTGACTCCTTCCATTTATCTCTGAACATACATCTCCCTAAATACTCTTTTATCTTCAGTAATGGTTCTCACCAAGCTACCTAAACCAGAGGATGAGTTAGAAAAGCACCAGGAAGAATTCTCCTGGCTCTACTTTTCCAGAAAAACGCCACAGAAAGTGGCCAGAAAGCATAGTTTAGGTTAATCATATGAGAGCGATCCTTGTGGCAACCCCAGCTAGAAGTGGCAGCAAAGGAGCAAATAAAGGCAAATGGCGATGACATACAGCAACATGGCGTTTACAAGGTTGGAGATAAAAACAGGGATAATTTTTATGTTGAGAAGCAAATATTTCTTTTAGAATGAACTTTGAGGTATAATCTGAAGACAAATTATATTTTACGTAATGGAGGAGGGAAACCAGGCTAGCATGTGGGCAGCCTATCATCATGAATTTTAGATTTTTTACAATGTGTATATATAGGAGGTACAAGTGCAGATTTCTTTTTTTCTTTTTGTTTTTTTTTGTTTGTTTGTTTGTTTGTTTGAGGTGGAGTCTCACTCTGTCACCCAGGCTGGAGTGCAGTGGTGTGATCTTGGTTTACCGCAACCTCCACCTCCCGGGTTCAACCGTCTCCTGCCTCAGCCTCCCGAGTAGCTGGGATTGCTGGGATTACAGGCATATGCCACCATGCCCGGCTAATTTTTGTATTTTGAGTGGAGACAGGGTTGCACCACGTTGGCCAGGCTGATCTCAAACTCCTGACCTCAGGTGATTCACCCGCCTCAGCCTCCTGGAATTAGTGCTGGGATTACAGGTGTGAGCCACCACTCCCAGCCAACCAGTGCAGATTTCTTATATGCATATGTTACCTAGTAGGGAAGTCTGGGCTTCTGGTGAACCCACCACCCGCAGAGTGAGTATTACACCCAATAGGTAATTTTCAACCCTCACTCCCTCCCATCCTCCCACCTGTAGTCTATAATGCCTGTTACTCTGTAAGTCGTTATGAAATCTTTTGACTTCCTTTCCCACCCTTTTCTTCTTCATTCCACAAATCCTCACTGGGTATCTGATTCATGGAATATCCTGTGCTCTTCTGATGACTGCATAACACAATATGTAATCAATATTTGAAAATTTGTGTATCTTACATAATTTTCATTCAAAAGTCTTCAAACTCCAGTGTGTATTATTTTACACGTCCAGCACATCTCAGTTCTAACTTACCACCTTTCAAGTGTTTGCCAGCCCCATGTAGCTGATTGGTTTTCATATTGGAAAGCGTGTACAAAGTCTTCATCAGCCATGGTGTCTTGAGCCATTTGGGCCTGCATTCAAGATTCGAAGTAGTCACCTCCCAGCCTGGACCTTGACCTATTAATTGTTCATATTTAAACTGTGGAATATAAGTGAGTCCTGAAAATTATTTTTTTCTTGTTTGAACATGACTATCGTTAAGTCCTGAGCACATTTTAATTGATTCTAAACAGCCATTCTAAAGAATCAATGCTGACCAGTACCCCTGGCAGGAAGGTTAGATTATTGCTGTGCTGGTGAGTAAGGCTTCTTTGCTGTGCACCTTCCCAAAGGAACTGTTGAATTAGAAACTTCTGCAGAGGTGATAAACCTTTAGAAAATAAAGCATTTTATCCTGCACCAGAATATTGACATTCTTACCAGGAATCTACTACCCAAGTGTTTTGTTGTTGTTCATGCCATAAGTTTCATTTGAACTCTGGAAAACTTTTTGTTTTTGTTTTTGTTTTTGTTTGAGACAGTCTTGCTCTATCACCAGGCTGGAGTGCAGTGGTGTGATCTTGGCTCACTGCAACCTCTGACTCCCGGGTTCAAGGGATTCTCCTGCCTCAGCCTCTCGAGTAGCTGAGACTACAGGTGCATGCCACCACACCTGACTAATTTTTGTATTTTTAGGAGAGACACAGTTTCACCATGTTGGCCAAGATGGTCTCGATCTCTGGACCTCATGATCCACCTGCCTCAGCCTCCCAAAGTGCTGAGATTACAGGCATGAGCCAACACACCAGGCCTGGAAAACTGTTTTTTAAAAAATTCTGTAATATGTCTATCACTGGCATCCCTCTCCCACACACCTCTCCCCATCCCCCTAAGCCTTCACATTTATTTTAAGACAGAAAAGAAAATGGCTGGGCTCTGATTCTGACTGCCAAGCTTATAAATATCCCAACTAGAGCTGTGTGACCTGGGCAAGTTTCTGACCTTCTCTGTGCTTCATCTCCACATCTGTCAAAGGAGGATAGTAATAGAAGCTACTTCAAATGGGGTATTTTGAGATTACATGAGATGTCACCTTGTGTAATAGATGATGCATGTGACATATTTTTTAACCGCACCTGGAAGGAACTGCTCCCTCCTCTTGCCACCTCAATTCATGAATAATAGCGTGAAAATTCATCTCACATTAGGCTATAATACTAATAAACCTGTAGAGATGTTTCTTTTAAAGAAGGCATTTTTTTGGCCGGGTGTGGTGGCTCACACCTGTAATCCCAGGACTTTGGGAGGCCAAGGTGGTCAGGAGATTGAGACCACCCTGGCAATGTGGTGAAACCCTGTCTCTACTAAAATATAGAAATTAGCTGGGTAGGGTGCTGTGCGCCTGTAATCCCAGCTACTCAGGAGGTTGAGGCTGGAGAATTGCTTGAACTCAGGAGGCAGAGATTGCAGTGAGCCGAGATCTCACCACTGCACTCCGGCCTGGCAACAGAGCGAGACTCCATCTTTAAAAAAAAAAAAAAAAAATGGAGTTGTTTTTTTTTTGTTTTGTTTTTTGTTTTGTTTTACATCTTCCAGAGGTTAAAAGCACTCATTCTGGACTGAAAGAGAAAAGGAAGTATTTATATTAAAACAGGAAGGGAAGCTTCATCTATTTAAATGGGAGCAGTGCTTCCTTAGCGCTCATTTGAATAACTCTTGTGCCCTCTTCCTGAGCTGTTGGCCTGTCTGTGCAGGTCCTCAGACTTCAGCTGTCTGCAGGGTGCTTGCTACATACAGAAGGCAAGCATGCCCCTCACCTCCAGTTGCTGGGGGCTGCCTGCCTTCTTCAGGCATGACTGCAGGGCTTCGCAAGTGACAGTGATGGTTTAAAACATACAAAATGCCAATGCTTTCATTATGATCTCTGTTAGTTATGCTAAGGTATCTGCAAGGACATCAAAAGTTGGGGCTCTGGGGACATACACATGGTCTCCCCTTCTGCCTTTCTTTCAGTTCCACAAGGAGAGATTCAAAATTGACATGCCACATAGATTTAAAGTCTACAATTACAAGAGCCCGACCTTCTGTGAGCACTGTGGGACCCTGCTGTGGGGACTGGCGCGGCAAGGGCTCAAGTGTGATGGTGAGTCTGGTGGGGGGTGAGCATGGCCTGACCTGGACCCCCTGCGGGATGGATAGAGTGAGGCTTTCTGGGAAACAGGAGGGAGGATGGAGCCCAGACAAGTCGTGATTGTAAGTGTGGTCTTCTGCAGCAATAAGCCACTACGTTCCTTTCCTTGCACGTGCAATGCCCTCACCCCCACATCCCAGAAAAGTACACAGCAGTTCAGGTTCAAGGTCAAAGCCCCTAGCCCATGATCACCTTCTGTCATATCATAGCCCTGGAGGAAACAAAGACAGTGTTTCTCCTCTCACGGGTCTTTCTACCAATAGTTTCCTCAGTGAGTTCTGAGCTGCCCCTTCCTAATTTCAACAGGCGTAGCCGTGTGGTACCCCAACCTTCCTCCTCTGCACCTGCCAGTAAGATTCTCTCTGTCATCTCAAGGAGCAAGCCCAGCACATTCATTTTGCTGACGCATGGTCCTGCACAGAAATTCTGTGACATTCGTTTGAGCATCCATCCCTAAACCATTGCTGTGGACTCCAAGTGCCCAGTAAGAGGCTGGCCCAGCTGTGACCACCATTGCCTGTTTTCTGGTCTTTCCTCAAAGGCCAGAATCACAGCAGAGTCTAACCCGCCATTCACTACTGATGGAGTTTCTCAGACCTATCATCAAAATAAACAAGGCAAGGCTTTCTTGCTGTGAAACTCCAAGTTGCTAAGGCAATAACATTTAGAAGCTGAGATGCTGTTACACTAGGATTAAGGACCAGGGAAGGAAAAAAAAACTCACAAGGACCAGCAAAGCACTCTGCTTTCTGTTTGGGATGAGACAGGGACAGGGCCCAGAGAATAGAGCCGCTAAAGGAGAGCCACCTGATGCATATAAACTGTTTCTTTTTTTTTCTTTTACTTTTTTTCTTTTCTTCTCCTTTTTTTTTTTTTT